TTCCCGACGGCAGTCGCAGGGAGCGATGTATTCACTCTGCAGGATGGACAGATGCGGCGGGGGAGAGAGAGAGACGAAGGGAAAAAGTGAGATCAGCTCTGTCAGCAATCAGTCCTAATTACTGCTAATTTAACCATCCAGCAGAATGAAAGAAAACACTCAGCAGGAGGACACACACACACACACACAATCAGAGGAGAGAGGAGGGGGTGAGGGAAGCCCATTCACAAAATAGAAATTAAACGATTCAACATGATTGAGACACTACACACTATACACACACACACACATTGGATGTTTATAAGGCAACATTTTTATATATCACATGCAGTATGCTGATAAATCACAGACTGTACATTTAAAATTCACTGGTTGTACATTTAAATCACAGGTTGAATGTTTATAAGGTGGAATGTTCAAAAAAGTCACATGCTGTGTGTTTATAAATCTCAGGTTGAATGTTTATAAGCTGGGATGTTTATAAATTACAGACTATATTTTTCTAAATCAAAGACTGTTGGACCGTCCAAAATCGCGTACTTGTGCGCTATTCTATGCCATTTTGTAGTATAAATAGTGTGATAAGTGCGTTCACACTGAGAAAAAGTGCACTTTAAGTACCCGGACGATGCACTTGTCTAACCGAAAAAAACGGGTTGATGGGTTCACAGGTTAAATGTTTATAAGGCAGAATTATTATAAATCACATGCAGTATGTTATTTGTATATATCACAGTCTGTATATTTAGAATTCACTGGTTGTATATTTAAATAACAGGTTGAATGTTTACAAGGTGGAATCAAATGTTTAAAGAAAAATCACAGTCTGTACATTTGGAAATCACAGGTTGTATATTTAAATCTCAGGCTGTATGTTTACAGATCACAGGTTGAATATTTATTAGGCTGATTTTTATAAATCCCAGGCAGTATGTCATAAATCACAGACTGTATGTTTATAAATCACAGGTTGAATGTTTATAAGGCCAAATTTAATAAATTACAGGCCGCATGTTTATAAGGTGGAGTGTTTATAAATCAAAAACTGTATGTTTATAAATCACAGTCTGTATATTTGTAAATCACAGGTATGTTTATAAATCACAGACTGTATGTTTATAAATCACAGTCTGTATATTTGTAAATCACAGGTATGTTTATAAATCACAGACTGTATGTTTATAAATCACAGTCTGTATATTTGTAAATCACAGGTATGTTTATAAATCACAGACTGTATGTTTATAAATCACAGTCTGTATATTTGTAAATCACAGGTATGTTTATATATCACAGACTGTATGTTTATAAATCACAGTCTGTATATTTGTAAATCACAGGTATGTTTATAAATCACAGACTGTATGTTTATAAATCACAGTCTGTATATTTGTAAATCACAGGTATGTTTATATATCACAGACTGTATGTTTATAAATCACAGTCTGTATATTTGTAAATTACAGGTTGTATGTTTATAAATCACAGGCAGCATTTTTATAAAGTGTAGTGTTTATAAAACACAGGCTGTGTGTTTATAAAACATAGGTTGAATGTTTATAAGGTGGAGTGTTTATAAAACACAGATTGTTTGTTTATAAATCACAGGTTTCACATTAGTGGAGCACAGCGGGTGTGTTTGTAGAGCAGGTTCACCTGATGTGCGTCTCCTGAAGGGATGATGTAAGCCTGGATGGGCTCTGCGATGCACTTGCCGTTCCTCATAGCCTGCCGGAGCTGCCGGAGCAACTCCACCGTGATCTTTGGGGACATAGCGTCTGTTCAGAGAGAGAGAGAGAGAGAGAGAGAGAGAGAGAGAGAGAGAGAGAAAGGTCAGGGGCAAAATCGCACAATGATGACTACAGAGAGAAAAAACAATCAGTAATTTGCCAATGTAATATTTTAGTCGATATCTAATTCTAATACACATGAACTTTTCACTTTCAGGCCTATGCCAATCAACTATAATCTCAGTCCGAATGATCCCTGTTTTAAAGAAATCAAAATGTATATGCGAACCAAACAATTAATTTAGTAAATCTGTTCACAGGATTGTGATTTTTTTCAACTTTGATATAAGATTGTAATAAATTAAAACCACTGCTAGACTACCGTACTTTTTAATACTTCAGTGACATCAGATCAATTTCCAAGTCTATCGACATGAAATCAACAAGTTATTATAGTGTCGACAGAAGTTAAATGGTTTCTGGCTGTGCAAGAGTGCATATAAGTGTAAAAAAGGCTTTTGTGAATTACCTGTAGCCATTTTCCCTCTGTGAACCTGAGGTCTTACTGTTAACGTGGCGCTCAAAGTTGGAAAGATATGAGATTGTTAACCTTTACCTTGCACAGACTGTCTCTCAGGTGGCACAATGCGTCCATCCCATAGTTAAAGATTTACTGTCTACGTCTTATTATTTTGTCATTACGCAACCATTTACCAAATGCCAAATTTAAGAGCTTTATTGGTTCCTTTCGCAAAAGACTAACACTAAAATTATTATATTATAACACATTATTTTTCAAAGATAAAAGATTCTATCATTGTTGTCAATGAATGAAGGATTCAAACGAGTGAATAAATAAATATTCTGATTTTCTATGAGAGACTATTATTGTAATTAATTAATATTTTACAGTATTAATAAAACAGTATAGCTTAATATGCCTTGTTTTAGTGGAAAGTATGGTTACTTTAATGCTTCTTTGTAAGGCTTCCAGGAAACTGAAGTCACAGATATTGTAAATATATTACAGTTTATTTTTGTGGATACATATGATATTTTAGCCTATTCATTCTCAAATAACATGCGCTGTTATCAAAGAGCTACATCATCGAGAGGTAACTGTTCCATCATCCAATCACTGCAATGTAATTATCATATTGACAGCTGATTGGGTGGACGGGCTCCACAGTTCAACAATATAAACAATCTACATTTAAACAGTCAATTTACGAGCATTCATAGACGAAAGATTTGCAGTGTACGAGGAATTAACAATGCATCAGTAAACTTAAATTAAACCAAACCAATAGTAAGAATTTATTTGTATTATATTGTATCCGTGGTAGGTGTGGCAGTACCCCGTACTGTTAATTCCAAATACAATTTGTTCGATTACAGAAATGGTATTAGTCTGCAAACATACTTGGGTTTATATATTTCGCACGTACATTGATACATTTTTTCTATCTTATCAAATGAGATATTGTGTGGTGTGCGCAGACGCTTCCTCGATTACCAAAACAAACGCATGTTATGCAAGCGACAACAATAACACTCGTCTTGGTCTCACGCTGCACAATCCACTGGCGCTTTCTGAGAATGCAGCACATATAGTGAATGACTGACATCAAACAATTCACCATTTACCTTGGAGAAGCGAGTCCTGAAATGAAAACTATTGGTAAAACTCTGCTGTTCCTTGTGTTAGTGTGCGAAGGAAGCTGCCATTACAGTGATGACGTGTGGGGGCACGTGACATGCTGCCTCTTCCAGTCATATGGTGGCGCACATGGGAATCTCCCACTTCTAGTCTATTTTGATTTGTGATTCACAGAAGTCTAGTGGACATGTATTGCTATGAAGACCAAATGAACACTCTTTTTTTTAGTTAAGTGTTATTAAGTTATATATATGGAGTTGATAGAAACAGCTTCTGACTACAGCATTGATTTGTTAGTCAAAGTCATAACTGAATAAAAAATAACATCTACATAGCATGTGTATGCAAATGACCAGACAAAAGTCATAATTTACTGTGAAAGCACAGGGGCCAAAAATGATGACTTCTGTCTGTGCGTCATTTAGCTGAAGAAAGTGAACAACATCCATATTCAACATTCCTCAAGCAGTCAAACTAACTATAACACCCTTTGAATGTAACGGAAAATAGCGCCGAGCGTCGTCTGCAATGAAATGAGATGTTATATTTTCTAAAAATTGCATATAAAGGGAGGAGCATGTGAAAATAAAACTGGACCCAGAATTGAGCCCTGTGGTACCCCATATAAGACCGGTGCACGAGATAAAGAACAATCACCACAGATAAAGTCCTATATATATTGTGTTTTTGAAAGAAGTCTCTTAATCCCACAATGGCTATGGTACAGTAAAAACTGTAATATTGTGAAATATTATTATTAAAAAAAATTCTAACTGAATTTGTAATTTATTCCTGTGATCAAAGCTGAATTTTCAGCATCATTACTCCAGTCTTCAGTCACATGATCCTTCATTCTATGCGGATTTGCTGCTCAAGAAACGTTACTTATTATTATCAATGTTGGAAATTGTTGTGCTGCTTAATATTTTTGTGAAAACCATTATACTTTTTCCCAGGATTCCTTAATGAATAGAAAGTTCTGAAGAATAGCATTTATTTGAAATACATTTTATTTAAACAATGTAAAAGTCGTTCCTGTCAATTTTGACTAATTTGCTGAAAAGTATTATTATTATTTTCAAACTTACACCCCTACCCCCAACTTTTCAATGGTAGCTTTATATATTTGTAATTATTCTTAGCAAGTCACCAGCCAGACATCCACAAAACACACACACACACACACACACACACAAAACCCAAAACAAAACAAACAGTTAGTAAGGCCTAAGACGCAGGCTCAAATAACAAATTATAGTCATGTTGCATGAAAACCAGGGCTGTGTTGTTTTCAAACGGATTGCATCATAAAACATACACATAATAGAAATCTGAGTTACATGGGAATAAAGGGTCATAATACAGTATTAAGTTAGGCTTATGAGGAATTTACAGTGAATTTACAACAAATGTACAATGGCATTTAAAACCATTAAGAGCAGAGCAGCAAGTTCAAGAAGTTTGTGAAACATGATCATGTAAACTTCTTAAATGAATATGGGTGTGTAAAATGCACATGACGAAAAGAGAAATGTTCTTTAACAGTATACAGGGTAGCGCTATTTTTAATTTACTGACAAGAATGAAAAGTTGGCTGTAAGAGATAATGGATTGTACAGTTGTTTAACAACATGCCGATTGTTCAGCAGATGAAACGTTTAAAAAAAAAAAAAAAATCAGTAGACAAAACCCAGACAACAACATAGTGTCCATGAATCCACATGTACCAGATGTGGCCCGGATCTGGGCCGACACTATGTTGCTGTCTGTGTTTTGTCCACTGAACGTTTTTTTTTTTTTTTGAAAGACATTTCGATATGGTGTCAAACCACAATTTGACGGCTTCATAACGTTGGGGTGAACCTGTCCTGGTTTATTAAAGTATTGAAGTAAACGCAGTGAGATCATTGTAGGGTCCATCTAGTGCCTCAGTAACCCGAGCAGAAAGACTCCAGCCGTTATGACGGACAGTAACATCCTGCAGGGGACCAGCATCAGTCCTGCCTTTCCACCTGAAAAAGGAAGATATAGCAGGTTTAAAAGTGTAAAACAATTGTCCATGATGTAAATGTTGATAAACACAGAGTTCAGGCTTACTTGGAGTGCACTTCTTTGATTCTTTGAACACACCCATCTTGTCACTGGTCTTAACTGAGCTCAGCTTCTCCTGGCTCACTTTACCTGGAAAACAGGTTATTACAACATCATTGTTTCTATCCATTTAACTTTTGGTCATTTATAATGATATAATGATATAATCATTTATAATGATTTCCCCCCCCACAGTTTTAACCTATTAAAGTAAGTATCATTTTTATGACTTATATTAGATTTTTCAAATTTCAAGGCAAGACACCTCAGGTGAATAGAGTAAAAAAAGAAGTAACTAATAGATATCATCATACTTCACCATGTTGATTGCAAGTATGTTTTTGTATAAGAAGATATTATGTTTAAGTAATTATATATGCACTAAATTTGCATAAACTACCACAACATAAATCTGAACATTGGTTAAAGCCAGGTTCAAAATTCTTGTTTTATTTTGTTGACATTTTAGAGTCAAGAGTTTTTACAGAAGGGATTTTTGATATCTATTCATATCACTCCATAAATCAGAAAATACCGTCAACAGCCAGAACAAATACATTTGCACTAGGAATAAAATGTTGTATAAAATTAAGCAAATGATATATGAACAAACCCCTCAGTAAAAACCTTCAGAATATAGATAGAAATAAAACTGTAAAGTTTGGTGTATTTAAGTTCTATGTGGATAAGAATTTTTTTTTTTGTTGAGAAAACAGTCTTTTAAAATACATGTTGGCCTATTGCAACTGAAAACTACAGATGCAAATAGATTACGTGCAATATTAACCCTTAATATGTATTTGGATGTTTTCTTTGCACTAGTTTCAAACATGTTATGAAAAGCCAAATAGCCCAAAATCTCAAAACTGACCAGTGCATGAAAAAACAATGTTTTGCCTGTAGTGTCTTGCAGTTTTTGACCAGTCAGCTTAAAATATGATAACGATCTTTTCAACTATGCCCTATAGAGAACTACAACGCTATTTCTACTGTATTTAGTATGCAACCACATAGCAACCCCCCACAACTCAATCACAACATTCACCCATCACATTTTCTTTAAAAATACAAATAAAAAATAGAACCCTTTAGTTTCTATCATGTCTTCTGTTGTCCTTGCAGTCCTGTGGTATAGACCTCTGTCATATACCGCTCTCCTGTTTCACCATGTCTCTATTCTCCACCAGCGCATCAGATTACCGTGCAATTTCCCTTTTTTGTGTCTTTTGAATGGACTGGATTGTTCATTGTTTTGATAGAAAAACCATACTGAGTCAGTTCAGCAGAGGAAAGCAATCACTTCAATAATATATAAAGAGACACCCCCAGACCCTCAAAAGATCTAATACAAGTGTGGCTCTTTTCTGTCAGCTCTTCTGCTTGAATATATGATTATTATCATTGTATAATAATATATATTGTTAGCATTATTTCCATGTCATTAAACACTGAGCTATTTTTAATCGTTAGTCTACGAAAACATGTCAGATCTCACTGTTTTTTTTTTTTTTTTTAGCATCTCACGCTATGAGCGCCACATGTCGTGAAGCTGAGGTAAAAACGTTATATTCTTTTGTGTACCTGACACCAGATAATTGACCTCCTGGCATTTCCCATCAGACCTTTGTGAAGGAGAACCAGGTAAGATGGAAACTCTGGATATGGGGAGGTTTAGCACATCTGCCACTCTCTTACGGAAATCATACCTGCACACAACAGTCAACGTGCCATAATGAAACATGTATTGCTGTTGAAAAAAATATATTTCATTTATATTCTAATGGATGACTTTTGATTATTGTGTATGTGCTATAATGGATCCAAATATCAATATCATCACAACATGTACTAAAAACTTTTATAGAAAGGTGACATCATAAAGAAAGCCAGGAGTCATTGTGTAATGTCAAGAGTCATTGTCATCTGTAAATAAGTGTGTGTTTCTTTTTGAATTATAATAAACATTTCCCATCCATGGCTTTTTATTTTATTTTATTGTTGACTTAGTTTTGTGGTTTCTATTTTTACACACAGAAGTGAACAGATCTAATTATTTAAGTGTTGTTATTCCTTGTTGATTTTTTGTTTTTCTCTGAAATTTCCTGATATTCTTAGTACAGTTATTGATATATAAACACCCATTTATATCATGATGCATATTATATGGGCCATGACATGACAAATTCAACTAGTTATTTGATACAGTGAAACATGCGATTTTAACCTTAAGGATTTACAGTACTTCTACCTAATCTAATCCTTTAAAACTAGATTTTTAGTAGTCAGGTTGATACAGTTAATATTTTGAACCAATAAATTGCAAGTTAATTCTGTATTTTTGAACGCACCTGCTGAAGGATGCCTTGTTGGGGAAGATCTGCATGGCAGAAGGGGATTCTGCGCGAATATCTGCACATGTAGTTGTGGTGCTATTGAGTCTGAGAACTAGTGACCTCTGGACAACTGGGGGTAAAACATTGAGACAATTTCAGTTAATCGTTATGCAGACTTTTATTCCAACGCATGAAGATACAATGTGTATGTAATGCAAGTGTGAAAGTTAATAATATTTGCTACCTGTGAAGTCTCCGGCCAGCTGCAACAGAATGTCATTGTACAGTTGTCTCTTGGTGAGACTTATAGGACCATGTCTGCCCGTCAGATCTCCAGCCAAACAGGACAGAGCCCTCATCTGAGAACAGTTGTTCATCTGAGAGACAATTATTTCTGTCTTAATTATTTTGCATGATGTATTCAAAAGTTGAGATGTAACATTTGATGAGAAAATAGGCCTTGATCTTCTCTTACATTTGTAATGTTGAATGGATTAAACATTTCGTCTTCCCCCGGACATGAACCATCTGACCCCACCGGCTCATCTGCAATGTACCAGGAAGCCTCTGCAAACTAGAAACCAATAATAAAGGTTGTCACATTCAATGAAATTAAATTTTATTCTGACAGCTAACATGACTAATAAAAAATCGGATAAAATCGAACTTACTTTTAATGGTTGTGATGCCTGTACATCCACCTCTAACATAACGTCACCATAGCTGCCATCTGGAAAGGTCTGTTGGTACTAAATACATGTACAGTGTATCACTTAGCATTAATATATTAAATATAATATCTCATTTAAAAAAAAACAGAGGCTATATAAACATTTATATATATTTTTTTATATATTTTATGAATTATTATAAATATGTATTTGTAAAAATTATACATAATAAGATATGTAATGATTACTGTATAAGCAATAATAAAAAAAAAAATAAAAAAAACATTAAATTGTATTATTATATTATGTATTGTATTATCCATCCTAATGTGCTGGAAAACAACAATAAATATCCTGGGGTATTTTTTTATTTTATATTGCTGCCCATTAAAGGGTTAAGTAAAGTTAATTTGTTGCCTTGTTCGACCACTTTGAATTCAATAACTAATGAAGAACTTGAAAAAATCAAGTAGATCTAACAAATTACTCGACAGGTGAAATGGATGGAAGTAAAGATTTTTTACAATTTTTTTACGGCAAATGCTTCACTGCACCAGATGCTCTTGACAAAATGTGTTGTACATATAAAATGATTATTTTTTGTTGTTGTTGTAAATCATGTGAATCGTTCTTCCGCACGCAACACCAAGACCACAAGACAGCTGCAGGTCTGTTGTGCGGCATGTGACAGATCCATCTGCCTGTGGTAGAGATGAGCGTCATACCGTCCCAGCAGGACAAGAGCTGTACCCCTGCACAACCTCAGCCTCACCCAGTTACCCCTCACCACCCCTTCCTCCTCCATCCAGCATTATTAGCAGTGTCATCTTTTTGTGGCAGATTTAAAGTGACGGTAGATTTCAAGCAACTTTATAGTGAGAGTGAGAGAGATGTGGAAGATACTTATTTTTTACAGTTCCCTCTAATTTAGTTACAATGGAAACAGTGGAAGCAATTCAAAATAGACTATTTTGTAGCAACACCTTAGATCCTGGCAACCACCCAGGAAACCCTACCATCATGACAATTGAGTTTTGATCAGGCAAACACCTATACAAATCTACTTGTCTATATCTATATGATGTATTCTTAAAAACACCTATATTAGATTTGTTATTGTTTTTACCATCATCACTGTCCCAGTTACAGCCCCACTGAACATGGCCTCAGCGGTCACTCGATTTCCATCTGGGGCGTCCTCTGCTGAGATATCTGCACACATCATTCTGTAAATAGGGAAAAACAGAAACCATTTTAAGTTATCCATGTCCGAGTAAATTGCACTCCTTTTTCCTTCCCACATTCCTACAGTAGGCGAGTCAAAGAAATCTGGTGTATTACTTGTATAAATAAACATTATGAATGATGTGTGTAGAGGAATGAGCTGTGTGAATCTTCCCATGCATGCTTTTCATGACAGGATGGCTATTAGGTATTTCAGATATCTGACTCCATAATTATTCTAAATAGCTTTACAGAAAACTGATGAGGTCTTTTTCCGGAATACTCAGTTTTTCCAGTTGAAAAAAAAAAAAAAACAATTTTAAAAGTTGACAGTCTCACTGCTGCCTCAATGTGGCAAATGTGCCAGACTTTGACATAAACTTAATGAGGAACCGAGAGAAAATGCAGAAATGGGAATTGTATCACAACCTGCACCTGCAGTTGTTTTTCCTATTTATGGTTCTGCTTCTAAATAGCTTAAGAAGAAGCAAACGTATCCCTTATATTTATTTTAAAGTTCAAAATGTTGTGAAAGGCCAAATGCCAGATGACTGTTTTGAGGTTGTATGATTCATAAAAAAAACTAACCTTGAGCCGTTGTTATAATGTATGACCAGGGACCGGCCAATGATGCTATTCGGACCTGAAAGTGGCATATTACCATCCATGTACTGGTTCTGAAAGGTGTTCTGACCCGTCAGGTATCCAAACTTCCCACTGATGTCTCCAATCTCATACTGGTCAACCGTGCCAATCCCTGAAGCTGGAGATGAGGTTGCGTTCACAGAAAACGGGTTGAAGTGCCCCATGATGTTACTGTCGGAGCAGGGTTCCTTTACGCTCTTGATTGGAAGAATATGGACGTGGTAGCCACCGGCTCTGGTGTTAAGCCCAGTGAAGGAGATATTTAGGATTGTTGGCCCTTGAGGAGAGACTTGGGAGAATCGGATTTGACCTTCAGAAGATTCAGGCCCGTACCAAGAACTTGAGCGAGCAGAGGAAAAGCGGAACAAGGTGAGGTTTGCACAAGCGATCCGTGGAGCTGTTTGGTTTGGACCATGTACCACCAAGGAACGACCAATCATTCCAGACAACCAAGAGGTTGTGTCAGTAAAAAAGTTCTTTGTAGCCACCGTCCCCATCTCAGACTGTAGGTCCAGAGTCTTTTGCTTGCCAGCGATATCCCCAACTTCACAGGCAAAAGGGCTGTCGGGACCACAGTTAACAGTGTATGCACTCACTGTTGTGTCTACGTAGAATGGGTTCCAGTGTCCTCCAGTGGACAGACAACATGCCTTGTCACTGTCTGTCTCTGTGCTGATGGGATAGTTGTGGACGTGCCAGTTGTGATTTAGTGTAGAAGGTGCAGAGAGTTGTGCGTAAGATAGGTCCATGAACACGGAGACATCAGAATATGGCTCACCGCTGAGCTGGGTGAACAGGACCGTCCCCACAACCGGTCCACGAAAGGCCGCCTTGGCGACAGTCACTTCACCGGGGTAGCCTATACTTGCACAGGCAAATCTGGTCGTATTGGGCAAGTGTATCACGACAGATCGACCCACAATGCTATTCCGCCCAAACAGAGGCAGGTTCCAGTCCGTTAAAGTGGCCTGAAAGTTACTCGCATTCTCCAGAGAACTATGCCTGGCACTCAGATCTCCGACCTCAAAGCGATCATGCGTGGACCCTCTTGGTGGGGGATACGCTGGTGCCTGAACATTCACATTGAAGGGGTTCCAGTGACCCCCAACATTGTTGTTGCTGCAGCTGCTATCCGAGGGAGATCTCATCTGGGGTAGTGGAAACTGATGAACGTGGTACGGCCCAACTCTTCTGTCCAGGTTTGTCAGGTTAACAGTGATGGTGGTGAGATCGAACGGAGATGGTTGATGGAAGGTGAAGTAGCCTTTAATCCCTTGCATGTTCAGGACAGCACTGACAACCTTCAGTTCAACCTTTCGGATCTCTGCACACGCATAGCTTGAGGTCAAGTCGAGAACAGCGAAGCGGACACCAGAACTGAGAGCGGAGATTTCCAACCGAGACTTCACAGGTTCTAGAGGTGATCCCACACTCAGAAAGCCAAGCTTTGTAAGACTCTTGGGATCCAGACTACCAAGAAGCGTAGTGCAGTTGGTGGTAGAGCTTTGTGACACTAAAATTGTGACATTTGTAAAAGTCCTGGTTTGATTGAGAGTTCTTAGATCTGAGAGAACCCTCGCCCCTGTTTCTCCTGTCACTTGCCGGATGAAGATGTTCCCACCCACGGGACTGAAAAACCGTGCCTGCCACGTTCTGACCTGGGACTCCGACATGAGTCCGGCACAAATCCTTGTGCCGTTACATGTCTCCACCAGCACTGAGAGGGCTTCCAGACTAAGGTGCTGTTCAAATAGAGCGGAAACATTCATCGCAGCCTGGGGTGTACCTACAGAAAAGGTGAAAACACTGTCTCCTATGTTTGACTTTTGACAGGGTGAAGCAAAATGGCCGTACATAACAGGGAACGTAGTGAGGGAGATATTGAATGATCGACACGTTCCGGTTCCTGTGAGATTAACAGTGGACTTCAGCTCCGTAGAGTCGAAGTTGATCCAACCAGTGATCCCCTCCATGTTGAATTCAGCCCGATACCGCACACAAGAGGCACAACCTAAACAGAGTCAATGGAATAATCAAAATTTCAGCACATTCATTCTTTTCAGGAAGTCTACAAACCATTTATGACTTCAATCGTTTAATTTTAGAAGATCACATGCAGATATATCAAACAGATCAGTCAGATTCAAGTGTAAGATTAGACATGTTACTCATGTCAACACCTCATCTGTTATACCAGAGGTTTTCAACCCTTCTCATAGGGACCCGCTGTCCTGCAGAGTTAAACTCCAACCCTACTCAAACACACCTGAACCAGCTGATCAAGCTCTTCAGGATCGCAGGCAGTTGTGTTGAAGCAGGTTGGAAACTTTGCAGGACAGTGGGTCCCCAGGAGCAGGGTTGAAGACCTCTGTGTTATACTTTTGTTAGACACCAATAACGCTGATTAAAGGACATTATTAGTAGCTTAGGATGTGCTCAGGTGACAGGTGGGTTCAGGTGTCACATTTCTAAGAGATTCTCTAAGGCGAACTTCGGGAGTGTCCTGTCGAATTCTGGGAATCGTGTGGTTTAACACATAAATAAATAATGTCACAGTCGAGCTGAGTCATACTGAACAACAGTGATCCATAAAAAAGCACCTAAGTTTTTAGCTATGCAAAACTCCCATTCATAAAAAATATCAAAGACATTAAAGCATGATTTTACTTTTTCACCACTTTCCCCTATGTAATAGGTGTAAAGGTTAAATAAAAAGAAAAACAAGGATACAGTTTCACTAAGTTAATTTAAAAAAGAGGGCTTAGAAATTAACAATATTTTTAAGTGCAGTAAAAACTTTGCATGTACATTCTCTCACATTTCATCAAACTTGAAGTTTGTTTATAGTGCCTGTTATGCGTTTAGCATTACGTTATACCTTATGAAACCCTAAAGGTATCACATACAAACAGATATCACACAAGGTCACTGAATAATTTAACAATTGTTAAACAATTACAGACTGTCACATGCTAATACGCTAACTAAGAATGTATAATATCTTACAGTTACACATTATGATGCAAATCATTAACTTTTCCCTTGACTTTGCAACAATTTTCCAAAAACACAAAGTTGAGAGACCACACACTTTAAACATGCAGTGTTGGTTATGCAAATCCCTATATTTTTGGGTAAAGAAGAAGAAGAAGAAAAAAAAAGAGTTGGCACTTACCCCACAGGATGAATAGGGTCAACGCTCTTGGCAGCAACATGTTACCAGCTGTTGTTTATGTGTGAGTTTGCAAGCAAGAGGTAGAAAGTGTTATAGGCAGTTGTGTGAGTGGTTTCACAAGGGAAGCCCCTCTGCGTGTGTCTATAACCTCCTGTACTAGAGCAGTCTATACTGATGTGTGCATGTGTGTGTATGTGTGAATTCCTCAATGTCTCAGTGTGTAGCCCGATTGAATGAGACTGTGGCTTGTCTCTATAGTCTCCAGGGAGGGCAGCAGAGGGAGTGGCTTCTCAACATCCTGCGGTCACGCTTTTCTTGACATAGACACATAACAGCTGACACAACATATACAAAACATCACTTAAAACCATGGAAATATAGCAGGTTTTCCCCCGAATTAAGGTTTATGGAAGTGATGAACACACTTCAGAAAAAATAAATCTCAACATTTTGGTGTTAGACGTAGATTAAGGTGCAAATTTAGCATTTAAAACCTTCGATCATTGGTATTTTTTTCTACTTTTCTGTTTCTTGCTGTTTAATTTCTCCTCAATGTGGCCAATACAACATATTTTCCTGATAAATATAGGAGCTGTAGGATTTATTTTTGGCATGAGCTGCTCTAAGATGCTCTTGAGGTTCTTCAACTGGTGCTATTTTTTGATAATGACTGTTGAGGCCTCAATGAGGAAATGTGATGTAGACAAGAGTCCATTCAAAGACTCATTTAATTATATCTGGCGTATACAAGAAATATGACTAAACAAGCAGTCCACAAATAAAGAAGCTGCTGCTAATCTTTTGTTCCCTAATGATCATATCTCCACTTTCACTTCATTAGAGCAGCTATTCTTCCATCAGATGTCCGTTCTGCTAAACAGGCGGCTGTCTTTCATTTCGGGCCTATCTGTCATTTCAATAATAAGTTTCATATCAGGTTAGTATGATAATGTTATAAAAAGACATACAAAAAAAAAGACAAACACATACAGACACTAAAGTTTATGTTTTAGAATAGTGATGTTGTGGTTTGTGCTATACTTCAGCATATTATGATATTGACAATAATAATGAGGTATAGGCAATAGCCATAACTACACATTTAATTTCAGAACATTCACATACATGAACTCTGAATCGTAGTAATTCACAATTTCTTTAAGATTATTACAAAAATCAAAATCCTACGCAAGACGAGATGGGTTCAAATATTTATATATAGGGTATACATATATGTACATACTGTAAATATTGTATGGAACCGTATATTTTATGGATCATTTGTTCTGATTATTTCATCAGAAACCGTTGCTTCCTTATTCTCTTGAACATGACGAATAGGTCCAGCTTAAAGGTTCTCTAAGCGATCCTGGGTGACGTCACTTCTTGTTGATGTTCGAACTATTGTCAAACAAAACGGAGGCTAGCTAGACCCTCCCTCCTCCTCATCCGCACACTAACCCCCCAAACCCTTCTTGTCAGTCATTGGCTGGAACAGTTTGTTATGTTTTGGGGAGCCGGTCGCCGCAGTTTGCTTTTGTTGCTGTTTGTGAAGCATGGGCTGTCTACAGAGATCGCGTTTCTTTACAGTGTGTTCAGGGGACAGGCAGCCAGCGGATAGTGAGGAGATGTTTGCTGTATGTGACAAAAAATGTTTTGGCCTAAAAAACGCGTGACATCGCTTAGAGCACCTTTAAGTTTAACCTGGTGTCACATGATGTGATTATATTACCTAATGCTCTTCTCTGGTAGGCGAAGTTGTTATTTTCCGAGGAAGATTTAAGCTTCATGATACACTTTTTGTACAACTTATGATTCTACAACATTGTCAGAAGATCAGACAAGCTGTCAATATGCCAATCTGCAAATAAAATCTGATTTTCATTTATATATTGCTGATTTACTGATTAATAATAACTTATTTGCTAATTTACTCAATTTATTCAATCATCCATTTAGTTATTTTATGTTTTTTTCGGACTGTGTATGTTTGATACAAAAATTATTTTAAAATATAATCATTTTTGTTTTGTTTTAATTAGATTAACTATTTGGGAATGATTTTGGTTCTGAATCTAATGTAGCCTATCTCTAAATGAGGTAGAACATACAGCAAGTCTACAGTAGAAAAAAAAGTACATTTCAAAGGTCATTATTGACAATTCGAACAATAAGTTTTCCTCTATAGGAAAAGTACACTGTGTATACTCCATAATACAGTTCACTATAACAGCATTGATGATAATAACTGTGAATTTAATCATTAATAACAGTTGAAGCCAAATTTTAGACATCATTTCTGTGTGTACTAAGTTCTCTGCTGCCATCTGCAGGTCGTTTGGGCTATTATCGTTCAGTGTGGTGTGTCACCACCCTACAGAAAACAGTGCAAAATGTTTATTGAATTTATTGAATAGTAATTTAAAATTAAATTACCTTAACCCTCGTGGGTTCTTAAAGGGACAATGTGTACAATGTATTTTATTATTTAAAATCAATATTTTTATTCATAAATATGTCCTCAATGTACAAATACCTCTGCCAATTATTTGACTTGTTGTATCTTTGAAGAACAAGAGGAGACATTCGTAATCTTGTAAGTCTTTACTGAACTCAAGGCAGCATATAACATAGACCACATCTAGCTTGGTCAACTCCAGCAAACACACTGGCAAGAAAACACATATCTCCACCCCAGAACAGCCACGCCCTCCCCAGGCTTTTAGCCTCTTAAAGGAACCTCACTCTTACAATAGGCAGTCAATACCGTAAAACTTCAAATAATAGCCGAGTCCCAAATAGACGCCTGTCTCTTTTACACGCCTGGTGTGGCTGCAGGTTTGGGTAAATAAAAGCCGGTCTCAAATAGAGGCCGGGTCTGTTTTTTAGTTTCGGGTTGTATTTAATCTTCCAAAACCCGTCAGATCGTCCGCTTTTTGGCGGCTGCCAAAGCAAATTTTTGTCCCGCCAAAGCCTTTTTTGATTGGTGAGTGAATGACTGCTGGCTGCGCTTGACAGGGCGCGCGTTACGAGCAGAGCCGGCCGCGCGCGCGCACTCTCACGTCTGCAAACAACACGACGCTGTCCTGCTCTCCCTCGCGCATATTAATCAAAATCAATTGACACGATAGTAAAAGGTCGGAAGACCGCAGTTTTACGTGGAGCATTTGGAGATTTTTAGAGATGAGAGACTCTACGCCTACACTCAATGAACTCTCAACACTAAATTATAAAGGCCTGTCTCATATAGACGCCTGTCTCAAATACAAGCCGGTGCAGTTCGACGATTTGGGAAAATAAAAGCCCGGGCTATTATTTGAAGTTTTACGGTACATTACACTTACAGGTTACCTCCGAGAATGAGGGGACTCAGACATGCCCCAACATGACATCATGACTTTGCGTAAACATACACGCCACTTTCAAGTCAAGTGGCGTGTTATCTATACGCATTTTGAGCTATCCGCGTGTATGTCCACGCCGAAATCTTTTGCGTGTATGTCTACGCCATTAAATGTCCGAGTGATTCTGCGTGTATGTACACGCCGTTAAATGTCCGAGCGAAACGAAGCAAAATCTATATCTACATCTGTGGAGCGATATTTCTTTTCCTAGGATGGTAGGAGAAGACTCATAAATGGTATTAACCCCAGTGACGGGTAGGTTTAGGGACGGGGTTGGGGTAGGTCATATATTTATATGTACATAATACAGTAATATAACGTTAAGTCAAAGGCGTTGATAAACACGCTGAAAAGCGATTATGCGTGTTGATAGCACGCCAAAAATGGAAATACGAATTGGCGTGTCATACATACGCCATTTCATGAGATCAGTCTGGACATGCCCTCAGCTCCAGCTCCAGCTCCAGTAAGGTCAACATCAGGGTTTTCCACATCTAATGCAGGCGGCTGTAACTCAAGCATCTCAGCCCCTGGGGACTCAGGCGAATGGACAGTGTAGCCACCTGGCTCAGGCCTTGATTGGCCGGACAAGGGTACCGTCCTGTCCAGCAGCTGGTCAACATGTCGCCTGTGCATTTGCCCATCACTAGCTCTGACCTTGTATGACAGGGGACCTGTGACATCTACAATGATTCCAGGCATCCACTTAGAATCTCTGGTGTAGCTTCTCATGTACACCAAGTCCTTAGGTCTAAACTCTCTGACTGTGCCAGGGCATTTTTCAGCATTAAGCTCCTGTCTGCGAAGCATATCACCATTATGGTCAGGGTGCAGACGATCCAGGGCCGTGGTGAGTCGCCGATTCATGAGCAACTCAGCAGGACTTTTTCCAGTAGATGAATTGGGTGTGACGTGCTGTGACAACAAGAAACGGGCGAGCCTGGTCTGCCACTCGCCCTTGGTGATGTGAGACAGGGCCTCCTTGGTTGTCTGCATTTGAGCTTGGGTGATATGGTGCTGTAGTGACATGTCGAATGCCGTTTCGCTCTGCAAACTCTTGGAATTCCGCAGAAGTGAACGAAGCACCATTGTCTGAGACTATGACGTTAGTAGTCTCAGTGTGTTGATGAGGGCTGATGATGACATGGAACTCATCAGAGACACCTCCAGCCACTTGCTATGTGCATCAACCACTATGAGAAATACTTTGCCCTGAAAAGGGCCTACAAAGTCAATATGCAGCCGGGACCATCTTTTTGTCGTCCACTCCCAAGGGTGCACTTTCGCTTTAGGTGGTGCATGACGTGACATCTGACAGGTTTCACATGCCTTGACAGTCTCCTCAATGTCTCGGTCCATGCCCGGCCACCACACATAACTCCTTGCGAGTCCCTTCATGTGTACCATACCCGGGTGCGCATCATGCAACATAGCCAGTACTTCTCTCCTTGCCAAGCAAGGAACAACCACACGGCTTCCCCATAGCAAACAGTTCTTGTGCGCAGAGAGTTCATGGCGGCGTGAAAGGAATGGTTTGAACCGGCTATCCATTACGTCAGCCGGCCACCCATGCAGCACCCAGCGCATTACTCGTGCTATGACAGCGTCTTTGCGTGTAAGGTTAGCGATTCGCTCAGCATGCATAGGTGCATCTGGCACCATTTCAAGTAGCAACACTTCCAATGGTGGTGGTGTAACAGCATCAGATGCCGGCAAGGGTAAGGGACTCAGGGTGTCAGCATTGCCCATTTGTTTGCCCGGTCTGTAGCATAGCTCATAGTCGTAAGCTCCAATGATCAAACTCCAACATAGCATCCG